TCTTGCCCGTGCGGATGACGATGTCCATGGACCAGCTCGCGACGATCTATATTCGCGGGATAGTGCGACTTCACGGAGTCGCCAAGGTCATAGTGTCCGATCGAGACCCTCATTTTACCAGTCAGTTCTGGAAGAGCCTCAGCGAGGCAGTGGGGACACAGTTGAGGTTCAGCACCGCTTTCCACCCGCAGACCGACGGGCAGTCGGAGCGGACCATCCAGACAATCGAGGACATGCTTCGAGCATGTGTTCTGGACAGTGGTAGTTCATGGGAGGAGTTGTTGCCATTGATGGAGTTCGCGTACAACAACAGTTATCAGGCGTCGATCAGGATGGCATCGTACGAGGCGTTGTACGGTCGCAAGTGCCGATCACCCCTTTATTGGGATGAGGTCGGCGAACGGCAGGTACTCGGTCCGAAGCTGATCGAGGACACGGTGGAGCAGGTCGCCTTGATCCGTGAGCGGATGAAGGTGGCACAGGATCGACAGAAGCGTTACGCTAACCAGCGTAGACGAGATATCCAGTTCGAGAAGGGAGATAAGGCATTCCTGAAGATCACGCGTTTGAGAGGCGTGGTTCGCTTCGGGAAGAGGGGGAAGCTGCAGCCCCGTTTCTTAGGCCCATTCGAGATCCTCGAGCGAGTGGGTGAGGCCGCATACCGGTTGGCGTTGCCACCCGAGCTTTCGGGTGTGCACAACGTCTTCCACGTTTCGATGCTGAAGGATTACGTGTATGACCCAGCGCACGTGTTGAGCTACAGTGAGCTTGATGTCGGGCAGGACCTGACGTACGAGGTGCAGCCGTTTGCTATTCTGGATTTAGATGCTTTGAACACATATAGAAAACCAATTACAAGTCATATAGAACACATATACCATGCTCGACACGTAAAATAAGCTAATGGGTCAAAAGGGCAGTCAAACGAGTTGGGAAATAGCCCAACCACGGTGCTGCAGGGGCGCTGTCACAGGCTAGGCGCAGACCGGCACTGGACAGCAAACCGGTTTGAGGTAACATCCGAACCTTTTCAAAATCCACTCGACCAAACGAAATTTTACCACATGATAAAACATCCAGAAACACACATATACACCAAAAATCAGCCTTAAGAAATCATTTTAACATAAGAAGATAATTTTGTAAAATTTTAGCAAAAGAGTAACAATTCAAGTTCCCCAGGTAAACCTTTGACTTTTTAAATGAAATTTTAATACAAGCAACGTAGCATAGGGAAGAACAACATATCCATAAATCAATTCGTTTGGATCAGGATTCGAATTTATATGATGTTATAAAGATTATGACTAGAACATAAATTCAACAAATTACATAGCTTCAAGTTGAGATTAGACTTTTACACAATATATATCATAATAAGAGGTCCAACATATTAAAAATTCACAGCCATATGACAAGAACTCGATTTATGATGATTTTTCAAAAGTTCAGCATCAGGCTCGTTTTTTAAAAATTCATAACTCAATGCATAGACCTCCAAATGACCCGAATTTTTCACTATCATGATAAGGACATTCCCAAGTACCCAGAACTCTAGGGTTTCCACGAAAATAACACTTGTCCTTCAGTTTCGACAACAAACCGAAGAGACGGACGCCAAAACAATATTATATCATGATATAAGCTATATGAATCATATGATAACAACAAAAACAACATTCTTACACATCATATATCACATGTATAACACG